GCAATACATGCACTAACACATCCTTGTGTCGAGTAAGTTGTTGTATAAGCTATGCCTTGACTAACACCATATGGACACTGACAAGTACATGTGTAAGTTGCAGCCTGGCATACGCATCCACCTCCATAGAAAATTACCAATATAGCAAAGAGTAGACGAGTAATCATTTGTGTCAGGAGTTGACAAGCTTTCAGCACTGAATGAAAATGGAATAATAATATTGCTCTCGCAAAAAGATGTATTTATATATATTACACGACGAATAGCGTTTCGCTTTCTCTGTTGTTTTTTCTTTTGTCTCTCTTAGAGTTCACCAATGAGGTTCCTTAAGTATTTACGCTTGTTACACACTGCTACTGGCACAAGAGAAAAGTCGCAGAATTTTTTTTCTCCTTTCTTCTGCACTTTTTTCTTCTTTGTTTCCTCTGTGAATGCGCCAATAAGGCTTCTTTAATTACTACGCTTGCTACTTTTAGCTACCAGCATAAGTGAAAAGTCCCAGGATACTTAGCAATCAAACAGCGACGTAAGTGAAGGTAGCACTCGATCCCAGTAAATCCATCTCTGATTCGCCAAGGAGTCACTGCACGAGAGCCATGCCAGGTTTCCAATATAGCTCCTTAATCGATAGCTTCAGATTTTGATGAAAATTATCTCATTTTGTAGAGCTAACTTTTGTGAAACACAATCTGAACGGAGTATTGAAGTGTATAGGGTAAAAATTTTGGACTCACTCCCCTTCCCTTCCCCCCTCCTCCACAGACTGTGACAGAGAAAACCCAATACCCGTCACAGATCGTAACAGAGAACCCCCATTATCCATCACGGACTGTGACAGAGAAACTCTGCTACCCATCACAAACCTTGACAGAGAAAACCTAATATCCATTACAGAAATAGATAGACCTGTACTTATATGAAGTACGATTAAATGTCGCTAGAATTTCATGAAAATATGTCAACTGCTTCCTTTTTGCAGCTCCAGAGGAATTAATAAACAATGATTTACTGACCGATCCGAAGATATCCAAGAAAACATATTCATGTGATTAGTAACAACAGCTGCATCATGTTTCACATTTTAATCCTGCAAGGATTGCGCTAACAGTTTTTTAGGAATATAGCCGAATTTTAAGATCTAACGCATTAATTTTGGCTGAGATATGGTTATCCGAATCATCCCATCCCAAATAGTCTTTTATTGATTTCATACATTTTTTTTCAATCAGTCATTTGAAATGTATTGATGATATCTTCTCACAGGTATGTAAAAGAGTCCTGAAATTTTCACCGGAGAGACATTTTGAGATGGGCAATCTAACCATCTTATTCAATAGTGTCTAAGTCATGATCAAATGTGATTGAAACTTTCACTTCCATGCTAGTCTACTTGGTGACCGGACAGATCGCCGCAGGGCAAATCATCGCGGACAATCGTTGCGGACAATTCGTCGCACGGACAAATCGTCACAGTACAATTCGTTGTATGGACGAAACATCGTATGGATAAAACGTTACAATATTTCATTATACTAGACCTTTCTATTTCTGAAGTCGACCTCATAAAGTATGATGCAAGGGTGTGGGTATGGATACAGGATTCCGGTGCGGGGTTCAGGCTGTGTGTGTGGGCCTGTGGATGGGTTTACATATGTTCCCGTAGATGCGGGGTATGCGTAGTGCAGACAGTTATAACCAGCCTAACTCACAGATGATTCCTCTACTGTCCTCGAATCACACATACCGCTGCGTCTAAATCCACAATAACACTCAAAATTCATACTCACACCGAAATTCTAAACCAGGTTGTGGGTGTAAGAAAGAACTACACTCACACCCTGAATTAATTGGCAAATAAATCTGTTTTACATATCCATCATATCTACAAAAGCTCTTGCGCACTATTATGCATATTAAGCAGCTCACAAACAACGATGTTGATTATCTTTCAAAATCATAACTTGATCAATTTTTCAAAAAAACTAGAAAGTCTGCCACCCGTTATTCTCGATTGCTAAAGTCTGTAATGGGGGAGGGGTGTCTATAATGGGGGAATGTCTATAATGGAGGGCTGTCTGTAATGAGAGATTGTCTGTAATGGTAGCTCCCGTTGCTAAGTGTCTGCAATGGGGAGGGGGAAGGAAGGGGGGGGGGGCGCAAAAAATTGAACTTAAAACTTACACTCAGTATTTTCTTCAAAAATATATGTGAGTTCCACAAAACACAATATATCGGTAGGCAGTAAAACTATACTTACTAACATCTTATGTGTTCCTTTGTTTCAGTAATGAACACACATATAATCCGCTTTATGATTTCTCTGGAAAACGTTGATAAAAAAAAATAGAAGGCCATTCTGAAGGAAATCCAAAGTACCGTTAACTCTCATATAAAATCATAATTTAGTTATAACTTTCTCTTTTCTGTAAGTCCGAATCTATACGTTCAAATCTGTAGGCCCAAACATGCAGCTCGAAATCTGCATGTCCAAATTTATCCGCCCAATTCTGTGCGTCCAAACCTGTACGCCCAATTCTGTGCGCTCAATTCTTTACGTCCAATTCTGTACGTTCAAATGTGTACGCCTAATTCTGTACGCCCAATTCTGTACGCCCAATTCTGTACGCCCAATTCTGTACGCCCAATTCTGTACGCCCAATTCTGTACGCCCAATTGTGTGTGTGCAAAT